ACACCCACACAATCCTCACAACCAAGAGCAGTCACACACACACTCCCTCTCTCTGGCTGGCTCTCTTACACACACACACACACACACACACACTCACTCTGTCTGGCTCTCTTACACACACACACACACACACACAAAATCCTCACAACCAAGAGCAGTCACACACGCACTCCCTCTCTCTGTCTGGCTCTCTTACACACACACACACACAAAATCTCTAACCTACTTGTCTATTTGATGAGTCTGGATATTTAATATCAATGGAGGCATACGATATGTTGTCTTTTTTACTGCTGCTTTTGGTCAGCATAATATTCTCATGGTCCAACCATGGAGCATCAGTACATTCCTTTTTGATGGCTGAATAATATTCCATTGTAGCACATTTTCGATAGCGATTCATGTACTGATGGGCACGTAGGTTCTTTCCATTTGAGGTTATTATAACGCTGCTATCAACATCGTGGCTCAGCTTCTGTGTGAACACTTCTCTCGGGTAGCGACTTTTAAGGAGAATCGCTCGGTCAACAAGGCATCATTTTACATTCCTAGCAGCAAAGTTTGAGGGTTTGGACTTCTTCACACCCATGTCCTGGACTCTTGGAACTATCTTTTTAATTGTAGCCTGCTGAGGGTACAAAATGGCCCCCTTGTTATTTACTGGAAACATTGTAACCACCTCTTCCTCATCAGTGTTGGCCTCCAGGGTTTCCCTTCCCACCCATCTCTACGGTGGCTGAGAAAGAACATGTAGAAACACCAGCTGATCTAAGCCCTGGCACAGCTCCTCACAGCGTGCCTTAGCTGACACTAAGACACTGCCCTGTGCACTTCCTCCTGCTGCTCCCTACCTCTAGCCACTGTGCTTTTTAACTTTTTATGTGCATTTTAAGAAAACTTTCATTGTGAGTTCAATGAAGGTCTACAGAGGAGATCGATTAGTTTTGCAGTCAACACTTTATACACATTTTATTCTTTTAAAAATGATTTTCCACCTCCCCTTTCCTCTTACCATATTGCATATTTGGTTTTACTAGAACATTTAACTATTTCCATAGATGGTTAAAAGCTTTTAAAAAATCCCCAGATGGAAAAATCAACCAGCTGAAGCAATTCAGCATCACTGCTTTGTTTTGTTTTCCTGCCGACACTGTTTATTGAAAATTTTACAACAGATCCTGAGGGGCTAGAATTCAGGGGAGTCTGAACCAGGTTTAGTTTCCACCTTTACCTGCAAGAGGATTTGTGTGGAAGGAGCAGGATAAGTCTGCTGTTGAACTTGGAAGTACATTAGAATACTATTTCAAATAACAAAATATCCTAAAACACCAGTCACCAGCCTCTTCTTCTACTCAACTCTCTAGGGTGTTTGAGAAACACCATGAGGGGATCAACTGTAAATCTCTGGGGGCAAGAAGGCTTGGATGGTGAAGGCAGCTAAGCAACAATTCATATACATTTTGTTTCATCGCAATGATTTCCATCCCCTCTTTGTTTTGTTTTTAATCATTTTATCGGGGACTTGTACAACTCTTATCACAATCCAGACATACATCATTATGTCAAGCACATTTGTACATTTGTTGCCCTCATCATTCTCAGAACATTTGCTTTCTACTTGAGCCCTTGGTATCAGCTCATTTCCCCCCTCCCTCGCCGCTCCCTCCTCCCTCATGAACCCTTGATAATTTATAAATTATTATTATTTTGTCATATCTTACACAGTCCGGTATCTCCCTTCACCCACTTTTCTGTTGTCTACAGTGGTACAGGACCAGGCAGCGTGTGTTCCACTGGACACAGGGTTGCCATCCGTTGGAGCTGACTCAATGGTACCTAACAGCAGCAGCAGCAAGCTTCTGGGTGTGCCACCCTCTCTCCACCTGTCTGAGCCAAGGGGCGCTGTTAACCAGAAGATGTTTGTAGTTTTGTGGGAGAAGACAGAAATGCATATGGACCCTATGTAATAAATGTGGCAAGTGAATAAACTGGAATTGGTGAGATCAGTTATCATTGATTGTCTGAATGACTAGACAAATGGCTATTTTTACCCAGCAAACCAGAAGCAGGCTTTGGAGGCAGGCTCTGCTCTGAGCTTAGGGGAAGAACAAAGACAGGTAGACTCTCCCTACACACCTTTGGGGGCAGAGACAAAGGGCTCTGTGGCTGCAAACAGAAGGCTAAGAAACTAGGCAATGTGACTGTGAGAGAAAGGAGCAAAGCGCTCCATCATAGGCCTCCTGCCCATCAGATGGGCCCTTAACAAGGCAATGGCCGTGAGACTGAGTCAGGCTGCTAGACACCACTCTCTTCTAACCAGCGTGGGCCTGGTAGCTTCTACATGGGGCGTTCAAGAGCTCCGCTAGCAGGTCTTCCTTCTCAGGGCCTGCTGATGGGAACTGCCGAAGGCAGCAGTGAGTGCACAGCCCTGGGAGACACCCAGCTGCTGGGTGAACAGCTTAGTGTGTTCACTGCCCGCATGGTTTTCCTGTTCCTTAGGCTAGAGGTGGGAAGAAGGCGTTTGTTGTCCAGGGAATGCCACCTCTCCTGTGGAGCCTTCCATGATTCAATAATATCACGTTGGCATAAATTGTTATTGTTTGTATTCATATGTGTCTCCCTTCTGGTGCGTGAGTGCCTGGGTCGCTGTGGTATCTTACTCATTCATTCTACCACACTGAATACTGAACCTGTGCCCAGCTCTCTGCTACAGGCAGGATGGCAGGGAATGCCATCCCTCCCTTGCTCAGCTCTGAATGACAAAACACGAAAGACAGCTCTATTCAGAAACATTAGAACATTTTCCTTCCTCCCACCTCTCACATTTCCTCATGGGGAGGGAATTATCTCACAGTGGAGAGACTAGTTTAACAGCTACTGGGCCCTCCTGGCACTTGAGAACTTGATTGCCTGGCTAAGTGCCAAAATGTAGGCACAATTTCCGCCCTTTGAGTCTGGCCTAGGGGAGTGTTAGGGATTGAACTGTGTGCTCCTGAAAGTATATGTTGTCAATCCTAACTCCTAGACCTGTAGTTATAATCCCATTTTGGGAATGGGATTTATTTGTTCTGATAATGATCTAGTGTTAGTGGTGGTGGTCAGGTGCTATTGATTCGGTTCTGACCCATAGTGACCTTATTTATACCCAACAGAACAAAACACTGCATTATTTTCACAACTGTTCCTGTGTCTGAGCCCATTGTTGCGGCCACTGTGCCAATTCATCTCCTCGAGGGTTCCTCTTTTTTGTGTTCCCTCCACTTTACTAAGCATGTGTTGCGTGTGGTGTGTTTTCTGGGCACACAGAAGGAACAGAGACAGGGAAACTTGATGCCATGCCACGTGATCGCCAAGAAAAAGAAGCCTAAGAGAGACAAGAACCTTCTTCCCAGAGTTGACATAGAGGGAAAGTCTTTCCCCAGATCTGCGCTCTAAAGTTGAACTTCTAGTCCCTAACCTGAAGAAAATACCTTTCTGTTGCTAAAGGCACCCACTGTGGTCTTTGTTACAGCAGCACCAGGGAACCAAGACAGGGAGGATGGGTTAAAGCTCATGTGACAAAGATGACACAGCAAGTAGAGTAGAACATTAGTGCTGGAATCTGTCCCCATGGTGAGTGTGTGAATGCTCACTGCAAATTCTTTCCTCTTTGCTGTAAGTTTGAAAAATTTCCCAGCCATGTGCTACTCTGGGGTTTCCGCTGTGAGCTGCGGTTTGGGTGCTCATCTGACTTCTCAGCTAGCTCTGAACCACCACAGAGACCCCCAAGACTCCTGTGCCCCCAGGGTTCACCGCCTGACAAGGGAGACTGACTGGCAGTGCAGAGTGCAGCAGAGGGAGAAAGAATGTCATCAACTCAGGCCACAAAGAACACAGAGCCTTGTCAGAAATGTGCTGCCAAGTCCTGACTTGGCAGCCTTGGGCCCGTCATAGGCCACTCCTGGGGTTTCTCTGTCTCCTCGAATTTCCCGATGGCATCCTGAAACCTGTGTGCAGGCCTGGAGTGGGCCAGCCTTTGAGCATAATGCCTCCAGTTGGCTGCCTGATCCCACCCATGCACCTCTGGAGCCTACTCAAGCCGGGACCCTGAGCCCTCCAGTGCTCAGTGCTGGCCTCTCCACCCCTCATCTAGCCTTACCAAACCCTACGTTCAGATCAGACCACATCTGTGAGACAAACACGGTCCATGTCTAGCTCACATAGCATAAATGTCGGGCCCAGATCACCCTGCAATGACCAAGTCTTATTTGAAAATAATAGACAATGAGCTCCTTGAAAGAGCAGCAGGTCCTAGGAACAAGGGTAGAAATCAGGCTATGTGGCCAGCGAGAGGGCCCGTGCCACATCAGGGAACAAAAGGGTGCCGCAGTCAAGGCCAAGCCTACCCCAGATGGCCCTGGCACTGAGGACGGGGACAAGTCCCTCCCCTCAGGAAGCCTTCTCAGGTCCGTCCTAGTGTCCATTGCCCCGTGTCTGGCAACCAGGGATTTTCCCAGAGCATCTGGCCTGTGGAGAGCTAAAGTGAATGGTCATAAGGGATCTCTGAGCACTGACACCCAGCTGTTCCAATTCACAGGACCCATGTGTGTTACAGTAGAACTCCATGTGTGTTACAGTAGAACTGTGCTCTCCTGAGTTTCTGAAGTGCAGGCAGGAAATCCTGGGTTATAAATAAGCAATAGACAACTTTTCTTTGCCCTTTAATATTATGTAAATTAGCTCTAATGTTGAAAGGATCGAATCAGCTCCTACGCCCAACAAATTCTTCATTACAATCACCTTCACTGGTTGCATGTGCAGCTGTTAAATCATTGTTAGGGCTTGGAGCCTTTTCTTACACTAAAAAACTCACTGTTAGCGAACTGATTCCAATTCCTCACAACCCTGTGAGACAGAGTAGACTGATCCTGTGTGTTTTCAAGACGTAACTTTACAGGAGTAAAAAAAGCTGCTTCTTTCTCCCTTGATTGAAAAAAACCCCAAACAATGAGAAAACAACCTCCCCTCACTGTCATTGTGTCGATGCTGACTCATAATGACCCTAGGACAGGGTAGAACTGCCCTGTGAGTTTCCAAGATTTTAACTCCTTATAGGATTAGAAAGTCCAATCTTTCTCCTGAGGAGTGGCTAGTGGTTTCAAACTGTTGACCTTTCGGATCACAGCACAATGCATAACTACACCAACAGGGCTCCTCTTGGCTAACATAAGGCTAAATAAGATCCATATCCATCTGTTCCAATTGGCCTACAAATTCTTGGCACATAGTTTGTAATGTATCTCATGTTTAGCCTGTAGGCTTCTAAGTTTTTCTTTCAAGTGCCTCCAGGTAGACTCAACCTATAATCTTTCTGGTCAGTAGCTAAGCACATTAACTATTAGTACTCCACAGCACAGCTGGATCAATCTCATTGTGTTAGCAAGTCCTACCTGCATGCTGTGTCCTCTACCAGGCCATTAACCCCTAGAGAAGGCACCCTGCACAGGTCCAGCCATGAAGTGGAGGCTCAGTGTGTGGCGGTGGCATGAACAACCTTCTCCAAAATTCCTCTAAGCTGTAAACCACAAACCCCTGGGAAGGACAGCTCTTGTTTTTGCTCATCTGACATCCATTTCTCCTTCTGCTAGTAACACTTTTCCTTGGGGGAATCCTCCCTTGAGCGCTCTTGGACCACATGGGTTTGGGCACGCTGACCACATGCTCCAGGCTCAGGAGTAGGCACTGACCCAGGCCTGACCAATCAGAGCATCCCGTGCCCCTGGTCATAGGGACTGGCACATGACTGGAGCTGAGCTAAAGGCCAATTCTGGGGAGTCGTGGGAAAGAAACTTTCTTCTCACACAAGGCTATAGGCTGGGGCTGCTGGTGGTCACCTAGCCAACCCATGGGAGCCTTGCCCAAGCAGACAGCTGACACAGAGGGAAACAGAACGAAGAGATGGAGATGGGGTCTGGTGATATGGACCCTCTGGGAGTCAGCTGTGCCCAGAGCATGTACTGACCCCTGACCTTCGAAGTGCTGAGCTGATTTGTGATGCTTCCTACCCCTCTAACTTACAAGGTAACCATCAATCGACGCTCCAGGCCCCATGGTACCCCAGATTCTTACTGGGGTGGGGATCATACTTCCTGCTGCTGTCCCAGAGACGTGACCCCACTGGCAGGGTCCCACTCAGGAGTCTTACCTGCACCAGAAGGTTCTGCAGTCCAATGAGCAGGGACAGCACTTGTGATGTGCCCAGTGGCGCCAGCACCATGTCCTCAGGGGCTGACGGGGGCCGGGTCCCTGATGGCACCAGGGCCACCAGGGTCGAGGAGAAGCTCTGCTGAAGGGCAGTGCGTAGAAAGCGAGCGACGGAAGCTGAAAGCAGGAGGCTCCTTACATCGCTGTCTCCTTCCCCACCCTCCACTCAGCTCTGTCCCAGGAAGCAGGGCAATAGGGATCATTATAGGGTGACCCCAGGTGGGCTACGTGGAGCTTCCCTCCTGCTGCTGGAGCACCGCACCGCAACCCCAGACCCACACCTGAGAGCAGTGCAGCTTGTTTCCTGGGAAAGCTGAGGACTGCCAATACCTGGTCCAGCTCCACACACAGGGTCTGGTGAACCTAGTAGGGTTAGGGTAAAAGATAAATACAACTTTCCCAATAGCTCCTATTCCCCCAACCTCCCCTCCTGCCCCACTGCACCAGGTCACACCATGTCTTCAGAGTCCCCCAGACCTCACAAGAGTGTGAAAAGGGGAATGAAGCTGGAACCTGGAGTCAGGCTGGCTCTACCACTTGCCACTTTGCTCAGTCTGCTTTACTTTCTTCATCTGTAGAATGGGGTCAATGTCACCTGTTCCCCCTCTTGAAAGCTGAAAGATGTCAGAGCCATGTCCAGATACCACAGTCAGCTGGGAAAGAACTGAGTCTGCTCCTTCCCCAGAACACAATCTGCCTGAGGTGGGAGACAGCTTGGGCCCTTCTCGAGGCTAGTACAAAGCAGTTCCTTCAAATTCCAGGTTATCTGGTGAGAAGTGGTAGATTCTAGACAGAAAAAGCAATTTGTAAAAAGGTTTGGAGACAAGAGGAGTGCACTTGGCCAGCAGAAGCGCCAACACTTGGTCAGAGGGCAGGGCAGGAGGCTGGGAACAGCAGACAGGAAGGCTGCGGAGGGGCTGATGGACAGGTTTCACAACCAGGTAGCAGGAGAAGCATGAACAGATGGCAGCTGCCACGCCGATAGATGTGGAATAGGGGAGACTGCTCACAGGGCAGGCCTCACTGGTGGCAGGGCCTGGTGGACGTGGCAGGGAGTGGGGAGCCGTGCTAGGACGGTGGAGAGGGCCTCGGTCTGAGCAGTTGTTAGGTGCCATCAAGTTAACTCCAGGGCAAAACAACCCTACGTACAATAGAACAAAACACTTGTCTGGTCCTGTGCCATCTTCACAATTGCGCTACACTGGAGTCCACTGTTGCAGGCTGCGGGCCAATCAGTCCATCGCCTTGAGGGACTTCCTTTTTCCACTGACCAAGCATGCTGCTTTTTCCAGAGTGGCTAGGAGTCAGCCTCAACGCGATGGCGGTTTGTTTGTTTGGTCTTTCCTGATAACCTGTCCACAGGATGTGAGATGAAGTCTCAATACCCTGTCTTATCTTTGCTGTTTCAATAAAAGGATTACCATAACTTCTTGCTAAATCCTGAGCCTACTGTTCTAGAAGGTAAATCACACTTATTTCCTACTAAGACCATAGGTACATCTTCAGAGTCTTTAACTCTTTTTATTTGTTCTCCTATAATGAATATCTTCAAATGACTTAGTATTATTTATGGCCAATATGCAAAGAAAGCCCTCCCCAGTCCTCATGCACTGGTCCATCATTACACTATATTCCTCTTGACCTGCTTTGTTGCGAATATCCAAGAGATGGGTTTCTCCAATTACTACTTGTTTCCTATAGGAATTCTCTATTGTAGGACCATATTCCCAGCTCCAACTACCACCAGTTTAGATTCAGTTTAGATTTTCAGCGGGCTTCTCTCCAGCACCTGGGAGCCCACAGGCCTCTGGTGCCTCACTCCCTCCCAGTCTGAAATGGAGAAAGCTGGAAGTACTGGCCGAGCAGGTGCTGCTTGCTGCTGCCTCTGCCGCCACCGAGGAGATGAAGTCTTTCCAGCCTCTCTTCAAAGTAGCATTATGGCTTCAAGATGGATTTATTTGTTCTGCTGGCAGTCCATACTACTTTCAATACTCTTCGCCAGCACCAAAATTCAAATGTGTCCACTCCTCTCCAGTCTTCCTCATTCACTGTGCAGCTTTCATATGCATTAGGAGGCAAATGAAAATACTGTGGTTTGGGTCAAGCACATCTTAGTCCTCAAAGTAACATCTTTGCTCCTTCATACTTTAAAGTAGTGTTGCACCAATTTCACTAATCTAATCTATTGTTCTATTGGTCCAGAGGGGAGGATCTTGGTTTTGTACATTGAGTTGAAATCCATACCGAATTTGATCTTCATCAGTACATACTTCAATTCCTTTTCAATTTCAGGAAGCAAGGTTGTGCTACTTGCTTATTTCAGGTGGTTAATAAGCCATCATCCAATCTGGATGCTAGGATTTTCTTCGTCTGGTCCAGCTTCTCGGGAGCCCTGGTGGCACAGGGTTATGCACTGGGCTGCAATCCACAAGGTCTGAAGTTCAAAACCACCAGTTACTTGTTGGGAAAAAGAAAGGGCTTTCTAATCCCATAAACAATTACAGTCTTGGAAACAGTTCTACCCTGTCCTGTAGGGTCGCTATGACTCAGTATTGCCTCTATGGCAGTGGGTTTGGTTTGGACTCCAGTTTCTCAGACAATTTGTTCTGCACCCAGGGTAGTATGGCTGCAGACCCAGAGGCTTAGGAGTGGGTAACTGGTTAGATGTGAGTGGTGACCAGGGCAGGGCAAAAATAGGGTGCAGACTTCTTCCCCAGCAGTGACTAAAGATGTATGAGTGGACCCTGGCTCAGCACTGGAGACAGGGTGGACCAAGTAAGGCAGACAGCTCTATCCTGAGACCCTACTTCGGGGGAGTAGGGGAGGGGTGAGAGGAAATGGAGGTGCTCTATGGGCATTCCCCTGCCCCCTGTGCATCATCTTCTCAAGCCTAACAAGGACTCCATGCAGGTGTAGTCCCAGGGTGGCCACTGCTCCCTGTTCAGTCTGGCCCACCCTTGTCACTGCCTACATTCCAGCCTCACAGAGTACTCCCAACCCCCTGGTATGGCACCACTTCCTGCATTTGTGTAATTGAGAGCTGAGCCTTCGCTCACGCTGTTCTGTCCCCTCCTTACCATCTGTGCCTGGTACCATATTATCTTTCAAGGCTGGCTTATATCCCATAAGGTCCTGCAGGCAGCCCAGGTTGTACTCATTTCTATTCCTTAGTGCCTAGAGGAGAGCCTGTCTCTATATACATACTACATGATCCATGCATCCTAAACGATCCAGAATAAGACTGAAATGTTTCCCGCCTGTCCTGTTACAAGGTTTAAGGAAACTGCAGCTCAGAGTAGCTGAAGGCCACATGGCTAATAAGCCACAGAGCTGGGTGAGAACTCAAGAGTCTTCATCACTTCTTTGAGAGTCATGCCCATCCCAAATCCTCAGGGTGAGAGACTCACCTGTAAATTGCTCCTGTGCTGCTGGGCGCAGAGGGAGGCGGTGAGCAGCCAGGCAGAGCAGAGCAGCGCTGGAGGAGAGTCCTCCTCTGCCCAGGTGAGCACCAGCAGCTCCTCCAGGAGCCCCAGTAGGGTGGTGCAGCTCAGGAGCACTGCTGCGGCTGTGGGCGGGGGTGGGGGTGGGTGGGGGTGGGGTGGGAGTGGGGCAGGGCCAGTATCACACAGAAGCCCAGCTGGAGGCATCTTCCACAATTCTAGCCTGAGGCACTCAGACCCCAGGTCATGGCAGGGCCCATTATCAGGACCAGAGGACCCTTAGGACCAATGGCCACGCCCCTCCAGTGAGTTTTTAAAAAGTAGAAACAGAGGGCCAAGCTCATTCAACAGTATGCTGGGACCTCGGGTCCACCTGACTCACGGGTCAAATCTTGACTTTCTAGGCCACTGAAGACCTGCGAACCAAAAGGTCAATAGATCAAATCCACCAGCTGCTGTGCAGGAGAAAGATGGCTCTTCCTGCTCCTAGAAAGAGTTGCAAGCTCAGAAACCCACAGATGCAGTTCTACTGGGTCCTATAGGGTTGCTAAGAAGGAAATGACTCAATGGCAGTGAGAAAGACTTTGAAATGAAGGAGTGGCCCCTTTCAGATCTCCTTTGCATTCAATGGTCACCTTGGTCTTCATGTAAATCCCAGGAGGTAGGTATCACCATTCCCCTTCCCCAGAGAAGAGCAGCAGCCTGAGCAAGGCCAGGCAGCTGACAAGGAGGAGAGGATGGGGCCAAACCCACACCTTTGCTTTTCGCTAACACTGACTGGCCCCTGCCCTGCCCTTCCTTCTCCCTCTCCTCGCCCAGCCGGAGCCCAGTACCTCTTTGCCGACTGCCCAGGGTGGTCTGCTGGAGGCTCCAGTAGAGAAAGTTGAAGGAGGGCTGGAGGATGTCCATGTCCGAGGGGCTGCATTTTCCACACAGCTTGCTTACTACAAGAGACGGGACTCCTTCCGTGCCTGTGCCTCTAGTACACCAGCAACCTTACTTCTCAAAGAGAATACCACGATGGCTCATCCCAGACGTCAATCTTGAGACCAAGCCCAAGGGAAGTGTCCCTGATATGACAGCCCGGGGGAATAAGTGTAATCCCTCTGGACCCACGGCTGCTTGTGAGTGTCAGCCACAAGGGACTGCACAAGCTTAAGCATCCAAACTCACATCACAGTGCTCTATCCTGGCAGAGCCCAGGGGACAGGGATCTTTAGGGGTCATCTAGGTCAACAAGCACCCTCAGCAGAAGTCTTGTTACTCCCTGAGATGTTCCAGCCGCTGAATCCTCCCAGCCACTCATGGCTTCCCATGGGTCACTAAGGGGAGTGGGTTCCCACAGCCATGTTCTGGTGACATCCTCCCTCCAGCCACAACTCTACACCAAGATCCCCTTTCCCATGTGGCCACTCTCAGCCTCCCATGGCAAGATCAGACGCCCCTTTTGGGCTCCCCAACTTGCATCTGAACAGCAATTACACTACAGGGCTGTCTGCCCAGTACATTCCTCTTACCAAACCTTCCCAAGTCCCTATTCTCAGAGCGTACTCGGACCCTTAATTGGCTGCAGTCAGCCGGCATGGGCAGGGCCGCGCTCTCCTCATCCTTCCTTCAATGCTGAGTACTGCTGAGCACGTTACTGTGGTGGCCTCGGCCCAGCACTGCCCCTGGCACAGGCTCTTCTGAAGGCCAATTCTGTCACATCTGGTCCCTGGCCTCCTCCCAGTGGCAGGGCAGCACCCTCGGTCTGACCAGCACAGGCTGAGGCAGAGCTGGCAGCCAGTCCCCAGGGGCCCTACGGAGATGACGCTGCTCTTCTCATCAACAGAGAGGGCAAGAGTTGGAGAGAGACTGAACCCATGCCACTGCCTAGTACTTCAACCTTCCCTCGACACAGCTCCCTAGGAGCTGCCCAGGAGGAGGGGTTGTAGTAAGAGCAAGGAAAGGTCCCCTGAGGTCTGGGGCAGAGACAGGCGGCAAGGGGCCTGAAGAACTCAGAGTGAGCAAGCTCATCAGATGCGGAGTCCACTGTGGGATGAGACAGAAAACTGAACTTATGCCAGGACAAATGCTTCCCTAAGCATCCCCCTGGGTGCCAGGGCCGGAGCCTGGCCTGCTCCATCTACTGGTTTCAGTGATCCTTAGCCAACCCCGCAGTAAGGGCCCTGATCTGACCTCTGACCTCTGAGAGGCCTGAGGTTCACAGAGGTTAGGCAGTTTGGGCAGGGGTGGGAGGTGCTGTTTGTGACTGAGGATATTCACGCCCAGGCCCTCTTTACTCACTTCTACTGGTCACACAGTGATCGCTGGGTCTCTCAGTTCCTGCCTAGGACCCCAGAGAGCCCCTTATAAAGCAGCCCACCGGAGAGATGAACTAGCTTCCCCCAAGGGAGAAAGCACGTCCGTCCCCTCGGCTGACGCACCCTGGTGAAGCAGCTTCATGGCCATGCTGTCCAGTTCTTGCTCCGATGAGCTCCTCAGCTGCACTAAGGAGAGGAGGCTGAGCAGCAGAGGCAGGTTCTCCGAGACTGTGAAGAACAAGGAGAGCTGGGGGTCGGGGAGCTAACCACCCCAACAGTCGAAGGCCAGCCTCACACCTGCCCAGCTCAGCATGGCCCTCAGGAAGGGGGACCAAGCCTGTCTTTTTCACCTGTCCCTACCACTACTTCCTACTATATTTCTTCTTCACCAGCTTCAAGGCTAATGGGGTGTTAGGGATTCATGGTTTCACCTCATCATCCCTTAACAATCATGTGAAGTGGGGCTGGTTAGTTCATTGTTGCAATTAGATATCACGGAGTTGGTCACAACTCATCGTGACCCTATGTACAATAGAACAAAACACTGTAGTCCTGGCCCATCCCCAAATTGTCCTAGTTTGCAGTTAAGAAAATTAATGCTTGGGGAGGCCGAGTGACCTCTCCAAGGTTCCACAGTCAGTAAGCGGCAGAGCAAGGACTTGAACCCAAGTCTGAATCCAATGCCCATAGCCTTTCCACTATGTGCTTCCAGTAAACCTCATTCTTCATAAAGCATATCTTGTCTCCCTGCAAAGGAAGGGCCATCTCTTGGGCCACCCTCGAATCTGCCTCCAGACCCCAATCTTCCCTCAGAGAGGCACTAAAGGAGCCTCAAGTTGCCTCCTACTTGCTTAGTGGCTTGGAAATTTCATGCAAAATTCAGCCTCTCTAAACTGAGGAAAAGAAAACCAATTCCAACCGTCTCCTCATACCACTCTGAGCTGCCAGCTACCTGGAACCCTGGAGTCCCAGCAGAGTTGGAAACTGCTCTTCTGGTCCTTCCTGGGAACCTCCAACATCCGAGTGCCTCCTGCCACCTCCCCCACAGTTCCCACTTTCTTCTGCCCAATTGGGGGCTGCCACTCTTGTGGCAAACAGCTCAGAGCACATGCTGAGCAGGTGGAGACACCAAACACACCCACTCTTGTTAAACACATAGACATTAAGCATAATCTCTCTCTTTTCTCTCTCCCTTACCCCGTATCCCCTCCCCCCACCCCCATCAGCACTTGCATTGGCTTGCTCACTCGCTCTCGCTCTCTCTCACACACACCCTCCCTCAAGTCTGTAGGCACCCACTCTTCCAATGACAGAAATCAGTCCACGGCCAGCTTGAGGTGTCCTGCCTATCTCCCCAGGAGCAGTACTAACCACAGCTTAGGTGCCCCCACCCCCACCGACTACCCAGTCAGACCAGGACCTTGGGTCAAACGTGGCCCTATGACCTGTCAACTGACCTGATGAGGGGGACTCATACTCCACCAGTAGATGCTGAAGTATTAGCAGGAAGTGGCCGCGCATGAGACCACCCACTTGGATATCTTCATTCTTCCTCAGAAAGGTTCTCAGGACAATCAGCACCTTCCGGGCTGTGTCCACTTGGCTGGAATAGATGAGGTCCTGAGCAGGAAAGAAGGGCGCCGGAGCTCAGAGGGCAGCGCGGTCAGGGGAGGCAAAAAGAGGAAAGGTACAAGATGGCAGTGTCACAGGACCTGGGGAAGGAGGTGCTCACGAATCCAGCATCCCAGGTACCTGACACTTCACAACTACCCTGCAGACTAGGTAGACATTAAGTCGGGGAAACAGACTCCATGAGATTATGCCTCTTGCCAAAAATCACACTGGCCAGTAAGGGACACATAGAATTTGAACCCAGGTCTCTTACACCAAGTCCAAGGCTCCTTGTGCTTGTCACACTGCCTCCCTCTTGCAAATGGAAGCAGCAAGGTCAAGAAGAAACTGTGTTCAGGATGGGAACCTGAATGCCCCCAGAGGGGGAGATGGAGCAGAAGATTTGGACTTCATAGACAAGGAAGAGGATGGGCCAGGACAGATCCTGGACACAGAAAGGTGCAGGAGGACTGGGTCAGGGCCTTTTTTTATCTTGCATTCAGAGTTACTTTAATGAGTGCATGCTCTAGGCAAAGTCAGTCAGAAGCCAGACCAGAGGTCATCCTACTGATAGCTCCTGGCACCTCCCAGCTGAAACAAGCTGATTGCTTTGGACAGGCTAAAGTGGTGGGCCAGTTAGGACTGGGTGTGATGGCTTCAAGGTCACACACAGGCATCTTCTGGGAGGAGACAGACACACACACACAGGGACATGGCTACAGGGCACCCAGTCAGACCAAGTCAGCTGGAGCACACTGAGCAGCTAGGATTGGCTTATCACAAACCTCTATCAATGCTGAAGAACAACTTAGATATCAATAATAAAATCCTGGCTAGGATCAAGCCACATTAGGCAGTGTGCTGTGTCCATATAGTAGCTGTATGTTACCAACTGAAAGGTGCCTCAAAAGAGGCCTGGTAGTTCAGTTCCAAAATCAGCCACGGAAAACCTTTAGAGCAGTGGTTCTCAACCTTCCTAATGCTGTGACCCTTTGATACAGTTCCTCGTGTTGTGGTGACCCCTCAACCATAAAATTATTTCCGCTGCTACTTCATAACTGTCATTTTGCTACTGTTATGAATCGGGTGACCCTGTGAAAAGGTTGTTTGACACCGCCCCCCCCAGGGGTCGTGACTCACAGGTTGAGAACCACTGTTTTAGAGCATAGTTCTACTCTGACACACATGGGGTTGCCATGAGTCAGTTTATTTCCCTGCAATGAGTTTGGAGGCCTGGTGGCGCAGTGGGTTATGAATTGGGCTGCTAACCACAAGGTCAGCAGTTTGAACCCCCAGCCGCTCCATACAGAAAGAGACAAGGCTTTCTGCTCCCGTAAAGGGTTAGCCTCAAACCCATAGGTGCAGTTCTAGTGTGTCCTATATGGTTGCTATGAGTTGGAATCAACTCAATGGCAGGAGTTTTTTGAGATTTGACTTGGCTCTTTTGCCCTTCTTATACACTACCTAGGTATTCACACTAACTCTTCCAATAGGTGTCACCCACACTTGTCAAATGAGGGCACTGAGGCAAGGTGTTGCCTATCAATAAAGTAGTGGAATTGTAAATTCCACTAGACTCTAAGTCAGCGGTTCTCAACCTGTGGGTTGCGACCCTTTGGGGGGATGTGTGTCGAACAATCCTTTCACAGGGGTCGCCTGAATCATAACAGTAGCAAAATTACAGTTATGAAGCAGCAAAGAAAATAATTTTATGGTTGGGGGGGGGTCCCCACAACATGAGGAACTGTATTAAAGGGTCTCGGCATTAGGAAGGTTGAGAACCACTGCTCCAAGTCAATCAAGGACCAAGATTAGGTTTGCTCTATGTGTGTCATCTTGTATGGATTCAGAAAACATCTCTGGAAGAAGATCACAGAAGAGAAGCTCTAGAATCTTTACAGAGCAGGAGGCTGAAGCCCAGAGAGGAGCGGCTTGGTTGCCCAAGGTCACTGGCCCAAGGCCAAACTGGCTTCCCTGGCCTGCTCCAGGACATTCACTGCCACAGAGTTAGTGAATATGAAGGTCCAGAGGGAAAGGGCTGTAATGGCCACTGTGCTACTGTCCCAAGCTATTTGAGCAGACACTCATACAAGGGTTTCTTTGGAGGCACTTTGTAGATGTGGTAATCATCTATAATCACATGACTTTAAGGAGGTTCTCTTCCATTATATGGGTGGGCCTCACCTAATCAGGTGATAGTCACAGAGGGTAAACTGATAGAACTCATGAGGACAGCACCAGCTCCTGCTCAGGTCTCCAGCTTGCTGGCCTGCCCTACACATTTCAGATTTGGCAACCCCCATATCACATAAACCAATTCTATGTGTGTATGTAAAAGGTATTTGCATATTTATATAAAATGTTTACCTGTATATGTAGCTATCACAAACTGACTGATACAAGAGTTCCGTTGGCTTTTGGTGGCTATGGGGAGTCCTGGGGAAAGGTGTCCCCCCCACTGCATGTCACAGTGGGAAGGCTCTGGGTGGAACCAAGTCTGGGCTCACGTGGCTGTCTCTGCTGCTCAAGGTTGTCCAGAACTCTCTGGGACTGGACCAAGCAGGGAGACTCGGCCAAGCTGGGAACAAAATAGCTTCTGTGTCATCATTGTTTCTCACATCTCAACAACCCACGGAAAGACCACCCATTGATAAGAGTGGCAATTAACAGCCTTGTTTTCAGCTGCTAATTACCCATATCAAAACCACAAACTGGTACCAACACATATTTTTAGACTCGTTTACCCTCCTGGGGCTAGAAGCTGGGGAGAAATGGCAGGAATTATATATCTGAACAGACAAGAAAGTTGTTCCTTGCTGTTCCATTTTACCACGGATGTTCTAGGATCTAATTTAGTGAAAGACTTTAATTTTGGCATCCTGTCACGGTCATGTCCCCTATTAGCTACATGACCTCAGGCAATCAATTCTGCTCCGAGATTAATTTTATTTATCTGGTCCAGAATCCGGAGGCAATGGGTGATGGTATGCAACAAACTGAGGAGACTATGAAAATAAGGTATTTGTGACCCACCAAGGGGTGTGGACAGTTTGCTAATAATGCTAAGAAGGTGTATGGAACTCTAATGACGGGATTGATCAGTTTTGCCATCCTGTTAAGTTTCAAATGAATCATACCAAAGGTAAAAAGAGGGGACCCGATTGCTACCAAGAGGAAAAGATGAGAGCAGAGAGTCCTTTAGACCCAGGGTCCTTGTGCTGCAGACGTCCTAGAGCCAGGAGATAGAGAGGTATGATACCAGAGACAGCAAGAGATGGAAAGCAGCAGAAGCAGGAGACCAGGAGGCAGCACAGAGCCAGTACCTTCTGACCAAGAGCTCTGTATCACTTACCTGAGCAGGGCAGAGGCTGGACTTGCTCCAGAGACCCAAGGAGCTAAGGACTGGAGAGTAGCATGCTGTCCTAATCAAATAATTGTATTCATTGTATTCTGACTTTTTTGCTGACCCTGAATTCTAAATCGTTACTTCTTTAGTAAGCTCCATAATTGTGAACACAGTCTGTAAATTCTATGTAGCCATGGTGATGAATTATTGAACCCAGCAGAGTAGACAGTGCCATGGATTGCCGAAAGGTTGGAGCGAGGCAGTGTGTCTGACCTCCCTTCCACATTCTCCCATCTGCATCTGTCGTGCCATCTTTACAATAGTCTATTCTGAAGAATCTAGCACTAGCCTGTCCGTCTGTTGTACTCTGGTGGCTTGCAGGTTGCTATGATGCTAGAAGCTATGCCACCAGTTTCTCAAATACCAGCAGAATGACCCATGGTGAACAGGTTTCAGTGCAGCATCCAGACTAAGAGACTAGGAAAAAAGAATAGGCAGTTCACTTCTGAGGAATTAGCCACTGGAAAACTTGATAAACAGCAGGACATGATCTAATACAGTGCCTGAAAATGAACCCCTCAGGTAGGAAGGCACGCAGATACAACTAGGAAAGAGCTGTATCCTCAAAGAAGAGTTGGCATTAATAATGTGAGTGTAACAAAGTTTCCAGGACCTTTATTTGCTATGAAGAAACAGCTGCAAAATCTATTAATAAAAAAATGAGGAATGTACAAAGTATATAAATCTAAAAAAGCTGGAAGTCATCCATAGAGAAATAGAATTCATGAAGCTGATAAGCTAGGCATTAGTGAGCCGGTATTGGCCATTTTGAATTATAGGGTTTACTGTGTCAGGAATGACAAGTTCAAAATGATGTTCATCATGAAAAAGTACATTTTAAGGGCTACCTTGAAGTGAGAGGATAATATCTACTCACCTATAAGGAAGATGAGTTAATATGACAATTATTCAGATTTACAAACTAACTAATAAAGCTAGTGGGGAGGCCAGTTACAACAAACTGAGGAAATTCCAGTGGAAACAAAGAGGAAAAGACTCTGTAGAAGAATCATCCAGACTTAGCGTCAGATGAACTTAGGGAGGCAGGTTTAAAAATTCAGAAGGGCCAAGTTCTCTGGTTGGTATAATGACAACACATCCCCAAGCCATTAAAAGAGAGGCAATGGTGGGAGGGTAGATGCATCTGAGATGACTGTGGTATATTCCAGGAGCCCTGGTGGTCTAGTGATTATGCATTGGTCTGTGATCCTCAAGGTCAGCAGTTCAAAACCACCAGCCAGCCATTCTATGGGAGAAAGATAGGACTTTCTATTTGTATATTCACCAGGCAGCTATAACATAGGAATTGTGAGACTGAAGCTGGAGGCCTAGCTTTGGGAATTGTCTACAAACATAAGAATTAAAGATACCTATATATTTTAGAAGGAGCCCGGGTGGTACAGTGGTTAAAACAGGCAGTGTCCAACTTAAAGGTTGATGGTTGGAACCCACCAGCCACTCCATTGAAGATGCTTTTGTAACAATTTATAGCCTTAGAAACCCTCTGGGTCAGTTCTACACTTTGCTAATTGAGTCGCGGTGAGTTGGGATTTTTGATGGCAGTCGGTGAACAAGCCTCTGGAAAGAAAGCAAGAGAATTTCC